TGAAATTTACTTATATACATCAACCAATCAATTACTAATCTTCTAGAGCTAATAGAAGGTAACCCATGCTTGTCAATCAAACTCCCTTGTTGATGTGACCTATCAACCCCCGTTATTGGTAAACTATGTCCACTATGTTGCTCCAAGATGAAAAAAACTACTGATCTTTATTAGTTTGATCATTCATCCCCATCCACTTCCCTACTTACAAACATATACCTTTCAATTACTAATATATAGCACAGTGATATTCTTAGTTGAGAGTTTTCTAGAAACCCAAATTCTCATTATTATTATAGCCTAAACAATTGGTTGGGGAAATATCTTAATGACATGATTTTGGTAGGCCTTTAAAACTCCATATTACTAAGCCATCCATTTCAGATGCTCCAAAAGAGTGAGAAAGAAAATGAATTGCACCATAAATTCATGAACTTCTTATACAACCCAAAATGTCTTATCAAACTCCTTGAAATGTCTCATTAAATGTCACAAAGTTATTTTATTATTTTTTTATAAAACAATACTCTTAATATAAGGGCCAATTACCTATATGAATTTATGCACATTAGACATAATCATAAGATAAAGATTCTGCCCAACATAATCTGATCATATCAATTAATTAAAAAAACTTGGATAATGTTTTGTACAATAATTCAATTTAACCCAACCAAATCACATTTGTAAATATAGTAAATAAATTATCTACTTAGAGGTCATTTGCTTGGTTGAAAAATAAATGTTGAGAAAATAGAATACTTTGTTTAGAAAAACAAATCAATGTATTTGAAATTGTTTCAATGAATGTAAAATATTATATGTGATTTTTTATTTGATTTAATGAAAAAATGAATGCAGTGTAAAACTCAATGATTGCGGTGATCAGCTATGGCAAGGGGGGCAACAACATTGGTAGGCTTCTAGCAATGGATGTTGGTGACGATTGGTAGCCATTGATGATGATGAAAAGCAATGGCTAGCGAAGAAGGCAGAATTAGTTTGTGCTATATTTCGAAATTCGATAAAAAAAAAATATACAAGTTTTGAATTCATTAAAATACAACGTGAATTTAAAATTTATCAAGTTTTTACTTTGCGTTCTTTTCACAAACAAATGCAAAATTTTCAAACCCCTGGATTCGGAATACTTCATACTCACTTTTCATGAAATCAAATAGCTCCTTAGAGAAGCCCAATTAAAATAAATATTGAGCATGAGCATAAATATCTAACCAAATTATTAAGTGAGTCGCTTTAACAAAATCAAGGATGTCACCAACTGATTTAACAACAGCTCAAAATCAACTCAAAGTCTCATGACTCAGGCTTGGTATGGGACGACATTCTTATTGATTCTTAAACCAATCATACATACAAGCATATACAATTAAACCATATCTCAAGTGAGCTCTATCGAATCCGCATTCTACTCAATCTGAAAATATGATCTAACTTATTGATTTTTATTTAAGTTTGGAATAACTTTCTCAATGCTTTATGAAGCAGTTTCTTAGCATTTTTTTTTTTTTTAATTTCAAATTTTTATACTAGAAAATTGGTTCATAAAACAATAAGAAAAATTATCCCAATCAACGCCTTATTCCCACATTATAATAGAGTTGATTTTAGCTCACTAAATTTTCAAAATTATTCATAAATTTCTGCATCGATTATATATAATTTTAAATGTAGATTCATGAAATATAAATAAATTTATAAATGACATGCTTATGTTATATAAATGTAAAAAAAAATAAATATGTAAAGCGTTAAATTAAACTGATTTTTCTAAAATTAAACCAAATAGATTTAATTTTCAAAAGAAGCAATTATCCAGAAATTTTTTTTGTTTGGAACAAAATGCTCGTTATCAAAGTAGTGCATTGAAAATGTGATGCCGACAGTCGACAGATCAACAGCCACTCGATTGAAAATGTAACGCAAAACCACAATTGCCTCTTTCATCTCTAATTTACCCCAATCCACAACAACAAATTCGATTAATCACACTGTTAATTTATAATCAACAGAGCAAATAAGCATTTATTATAGTTCACAGTTCAATAATTAGCAACAAAACAACATTCCACACCTCCCAGAATCAGATCTTCTTTCCCGAATCCGCCGCCGCCGGCGACGACACCAGGTTCCTCCACAGATATCGCCCACTCGCCATGTCCACGCACGTCCAAAACCCTAAACTCAACGCAGATCGAACCTGCAGCAAAATCCCCAGTAAAAAAAAGAGAGAAACAAGATAAAGAAACAATACAGACCAAATCGAAAGAAAAGAAGAAATCGCTGGCTTGCAATTTCCCCGTCTCCCTACCACCCACCTTGCCGGAAAGCGAAAGCGAATTTTCGCCGCCGGTGACCTCGGCCGGCTCCTCATCCCCCTGCGATCTAAGCCCCCTCAGCATGAAAAAGCCCGCGAGCGACGCCGAGAGGAAGATCAGTATCACCCTCACAGGACACATTCTCCTTCTTCTTCCTCTTCCTCTTCCGATCGAGAAGGGGAAAGAGAGAATCAGAATAATAAGAAGACAAAAGTTGCATCGCCCCCTCCCCATTACAGGACAGATTAAAATACCAATTCTAAAATGTTTTTGTGGGACCCACCGCCATTCGGCACACAGGAGCTGACCAACTCGCGAAGAAATTTGTTAAACCTAACCGCGTAGAATAATAAGCAGCGAAATGTTCGCAGTCCATTTTCAACCAAAGTGGTTGAGCACACGTACGATAGCATTAGCTCAATAAGTAGTATATATCAAATACTAATCTCCTAATAAATTTAATAATTTAAAATTCATCTTGATATCGACAGGCCAACCCAAGTAACTTTCAAGTTTTTGAGCCAATTTTTGAAACGGATCAACTTGCCATACCCGAACCCACTTGTATTTCAAATAGGTTGACCCTAACTCAACATTTTTCTAATCAGATCCCGATCGAGCTTTGAATCGTGTCAAGTATTGACACCTCTAAAATTTAAATTCATTGTTCAACATTTATATAATATTATGATCTTAAAGCAGCAACACACTATGGTTATAAACATATTAAAAAAACCTAATTTTCTCACCAACTTTAATAAATACAATATATTTTTATAAATTTATTTATTTTGATATATTATACAAGAAAGAAAAAGAGAATAATAGAATAATAGATCAACAATTTTTTTTTACAAAGTATAATATGAAATACTATTTATGAAATAATATATTTGCAATATCATCTTAATGATTAAATCAAAAATTATGTCAGCCCACCAACTCATAACGGTCGTATCGTATGACTAAACGTGTTGAATTTATAAGTGTGAAAGTTAAAAAGAGTTGCTTATAGAACAATATAAAGATGCCTAAAAAGTGTGTAAGTGCACTAAGCGTGAAAATTACTCGCAATAATTTCTCGTTGTACTGTCCCATAAATAAAATAAATTAAGTCAATCAATTAGGTATGCGGTTTTGACCTTTTCCCCAATCAAATTTCTAGAAGATGACTGCACTTTTTCCAAGAAAAAGCTCAACTACCTTCAATGGACAGCTATAAAATTTTCTAATTAAAAAAATTATTTTAGAAAGCAATAAAAAATTATCTCAAACGAGAGCGATTATTTTGTGCGGACACCAGTTCCGCGCTCCGTGGCGCATTTTTATTGGTCTCCGAACAAATCCGGACCTGCACGTACTAATTTTTCCTCAAACGAAGCCTAAGACCTAAGCGGAATATATATGTGGATCGAGCTGTGGCCCGGTTGATCGACATAATATGTTCCTCTTGACCCATATTCGATGCCATTAACAGTCCAAAAAAATACACACAATATATATACGCATCGAATACTACCAACCACGATGGAGGTGAGCGTCAAATATGAGTCACCGTGATTACTTTTAAATACGAGCCACCACAATGTAGGTGATCGTCGAATATGAACCACCATGTTGAATATTAGTCGCTGAGACCGCATTGGAATCCCGAGCACCAACCACAAGGCTACTGTCTTTCACGTGTTTTCATACATAAATGCGAGCGTGCGCGCACACATATATATATTCAAAAAATTAGCTAACTTTGTACCTTCTCTATGGTTTCACAAAACGTGCAATTTTAGCAAGCACGTTTCTGAGAGTGCGGATTCCAGCTCCTGACTTGGAACTCACCATCATCTGCATTAATAAGCAATAAACAGTAAGAAAGAAACAAAACCCAAACTCTTACAGCTGTGAGGCTAAATAGAATTAGAATTTTCTTATGGAAGAAGCATGAGTTTATTAGTTAGAAATTCCAGTCAAGAATAGTGGAAGAAAGGGCATGGAAAACTTACCACTGGGTCAATAATCGACTTGTTGTTCTTTAGATTCTAGCAAAATATAGAAAATAAAAATATAAGGAATTAAATAGTTCGAAAATGATTTAGGCTTCATATGGGACGGTTTTTTTATTGTTTCTTAAAATAATTTTTTAATTTAAAAATTAATTTTTTTATACTAGAATGCTGCTTTAAGAAGCAGTAAGAAAGTCATCCCAAACGAAGCCTTAGACATAATGGATATGTGTTTCTTGATCTTTACCTCTTGGATTTGCATAGCACGTCGAGCAACATCTATGGGGAAAGCGATGTCGGTCTTAGTCAAGACAATTTGGTAAGGTGTTTTTGATCTGATGAAATTGGAATGAAAGAATCAGAATAATGCTTACAGATTAAATTAATAAAAAATTAGTCTTTTTGGTGGAGCCTATTTAAATTAAATGCATCAAATAAAAAGAAAAATTTAGGTTTCATTTGAGACAATTTTCTTATTGTTTCTTAAAACAATTTTTTAGAAGCAGCTTTCTAAAAAATAGAAAGCTGTTTTAAGAAATAATAAAAGAGTCATCCCAAACGAAATCTTAGAATGTCATGAAAAGATTATTTCCCACTAATTATAATAATAGTAATAGATAATGTGAATTCTAGGCAAGCAATCATTAAGTCCATGAATTATCCCAGGAAAAAGCCTCATGGGGAGGAGTGATTATTGTGTTCGGACACTGAATGTGTCCAGAGACCAATAAAAATGTGCCACATCACTAGGCGCTCGGTATCGCACTCGGTACCGACAGCACTACCGGTCAGTACCGCTTGGTACCGCTGTCCGGACACAATAATTTTTCCATGGGGAGGGATGCTCATCTGCAAGTAGAAGACTTGTATTGGTTACTGATTATTCTGGGTTGAATTCATATGAGCCATCTGAAAGAACCGGAGCAAGCAGAAGAAGACAAGTTCGGGGGAGAAGGAAAAGCTTATTTTCTATATCCAAATGACGGTACACAAGAGATATAAATAATGTAATGGAAACAAGAAATGTAAAAGACAGGCTACGTGGATGGTGACGTGTAATGTGCGCTAACATGCCCCCACAAATTAAGCATTCATAATGGTTAATTTGTTTCGAAGGTTGTAAAAGTGTGTTTTAGTAAAAGCCTTGGTGAGGATGTCAGCGACTTGGTCAGAGGAGCTAATGTGTGAGAGAACGATGGCACCCTTGTCGATGTGCTGTCGAATGAAGTGGAAGTCAAATTCCATATGCTTTGTACGGGCGTGGAAGACGGGATTGTTTGTGAGGGCGATGGCCGAGGTGTTGTTGCAGTATATAGTGGTTGGAGAATTTTGAGGTGCTTGAAACTCTACAAATAGACGGTGAAGCCATATAACATCTAAGGTGTTAGAAGCCAGCGAGCCATACTCAGCTTCTGTGGATGACTTAGCAACAGTTGGTTGTTTATTTACATACCAAGAAATGAGGTTGTTGCCTAGAAAGGTGCAGATTCCGGATATTGATTTTTTGTCCATGGAATCTATGGCACAGTCTACATCAGCATATGTTGTTAGTTGAAGGTTGCCTATAGTGAGAGGAAAACTGAAATGAAGAGTTCCTTTGATGTATCGGAGAAGACGTTTGAGAGATTTGAAATTTTGTTGATTCGGCGCATGCATGTGTTGACAGATGGAGTTTGTGGCAAATCTTGTCCTATCGAGTGAATGTTAGGTATTGAAATGATCCAGCTAGCTTGCAGTAGAGCTAATGATCATTGTACAGTTGATTGGACGTGATCTTGGTGCTTGGCGACGGAGCCAGAGGAGTGGTTGCTGGTTTGCAATCGGAGAAGCCTGCGATTTGAAGAAGATTGGTGGCGTAGTGTTGTTGGTAGAGGAATAGTCCTAACAATGTCTTCAGAACTTGAATTCCGAGAAAGAGTGAAACATCACCGAGCTACTTGAGTTGAAAGTTGGATTGCAGTTGAGTGAGAAGATCTTGTATGGATGCTGGATCATTACCTGTGAGCAAGATATCATCAACGTAAATTAATATGTATAGTTGAATATGTTTGCGATGGTATATTAGAAGAGAATGATCGGAACGACTGAACCCCAATCCGAAGGTTTGAAGAAATGATGTGAGTTTCTGAAACCAGAGCCGCGGAGCCTGTTTGAGCCCGTAGATCAATTTGTGAAGTTTGCAAACGAAGTTGGGATGTTGTTTGTTGGAGCTACCATGAGGTTGACTCATGTAGACATCATCTAGGAGATCTCTGTGAAGAAAGACGATGGAAATGTCTAGTTCGATTCAGAGCTATAGTTAGAAGAATGTGTATGGTAGGAATCTTGGCGGCGGGGCTGAAAGTTTCGTTGTAGTTAACTCCGTATTGTTGATTGAAGATTTGAGCTACCAGACGGGCTTTATAGCGGTCGACATGTCCATTTGGAAGAAATTTGATTTTATATGTCCGTTTGCAGCTAAAGATCGGTTTTTCAATAAGAGAGGGAATGAGCGACCAAGTTCCTTGTCATAGAAGAGCCATGAATTCTTCGGACATTGTTGTCCGCCAGTATTGATGTTGGTTGGCTTGATTATAGGACATGAGATTGTTGGCGGAGCTCGTGGTGGCTAGAAGATTGAGTATTTTCTTGGGTTTAGAGATACCCGATTTGAAGAGAGTTTGCATGGGATGTGAGGAAGGACAAGAGATGTTGGCTAAGGAGATAGAAGGGGCTGCAGTCTAAGTAGGAAGGATTGGATGAGGCGAGGGTTGAGTAGTGATAGGTGAGGTGTGTTGAGTTGTTGGAGTCTAGGGTTCTGGAAGGTGTGATGGAGTGGTGGAAGAGGATGTGGGAGTGAGGAGAGGTGATAGGGGAAGGATGTCGGATGGTCTGGGGAGAGATGGAGCGGATGGTTTATAGGGAATATTTGTTCATGGAAAACTATGTGCTCGGTTTTGTGTATTTTGTTGGTGCACATGTTTAGACATCTATAGCTTTTGTGAAGAGACGAATAGCCAAGAAAAATGCACTCTTGAGAGAGAGGGGACAGCCTGTCGTGAGTGTACGGTTTCAACCAAGGGAAGCAAAGACAACCGAATGTGCGAAAGTGACTGTAATTAAGATGTTTGCCATGAAGCTTATGAAAAGGAGTTTGAAGCGATATGTCTTTGGAAGGGAGTTTGTTTATTAAGTAATTTACGATGGAGAGGGCTTCTGCCCAGAAGGAATGGGGAAGGTGAGCCGCATGTAGGAGGGTTCTAGTGAGGTTAAGAAAACGCATGTGTTTCCGTTTTGCCAATCCATTTTGTTCAGGTGTATGAGGGAAACTAATTTGATGAGTGATGTCGTGATCGGTGAGGAAAGTATTGAAAGAAGTGCTTGTGAATTCACCACCTCCGTCCGACCAAAAGGATTTGGGTTGGGCATTGAATTTGTTCTTTATCAGAGAACAAAAATTCTTAAATTTGTTTAAGGTTTTGTCTTTAGAGTGGCATAAGATACAATCATGAGAACCTGGTGCAATCATCAATGAAGATTACGTAGTATTTGAAGCCATTAAAAGAGAGCTACGGGGCCGGACCCCATACATCATAATGTATTAAAGAGAAAGGAATGGTAGATACTGAAAGGCTTTTATTAAATGGCTATTTGTGGCTTTTAGCCGAATTACAAGAAATGCAAACGTAAGAAGATGAATTGAAATTACAAAGTTCAGGAATATTCTTGACTAATGTGGCTTGAAATCCATGGTGAGGGTGGCCAAGACAGTTATGCCAAAGCTGATTGGAGGATGTGTGAGCTTGAAGAGCAGTGGACGGCCATAAAGGTTGTATATGAATTTGGTACAAGCCATTACGAAGACGACCCCACAGAAGAGGTCGCTGGTCCTGTAGATCCTTCATGATAAAACCGATAGCGTAAAAGCAAATGGAGACATGATTGTCAGCAGTTAACTTAGAGATTGAGATGAGATTATAGGATCATGAAGGTACATGAAGTAAATTGCATAGTCTTAACTTACGTGCCGAGTCAGGTAAAGGAAGTAAACCTTATCCGGAGTGTTGAATCGGGAGATTGGCACCGTTGGCAATTGAGACATTGTCCGAGCCGTGATAGGAAGAGGATTGGTTAAGATTCGCACGGGAGTTAGATGAGAGGAAGCTCCCAAATCAAGAACCCAATCGGATGTTGGGTTAGAGGTATTGTGAGAAAGCATTGTCCAAGTCGTAGGCGCATACTTTAGGTTGCATATGTGCCAATAATTTAAAGCAAAATGATCAAATTTCCCACAAATTTGACAGGTGGGACGATCGGGATTATTACTCGTGGATTGGGATGATGTAGGGGATTGTAAGGAGGATCAGATGGAGGAATTCTTGCCTTTTGACGGATGGAAGAAAATTCGTCCACGAGGCGAAGTATTGCAATTTGAGAAAAGAGCCATGGAATCCGAGTTTGATGCGCTTTCTTTTTGTTGTTGAGTTTGAAGGTTAATTTCTTCGCTACATAAAAGGGAATAAAGGGTGTCAAGATCGAGAGGGATGTACGAATTGTTGATTTGAAAGCGCTGTAGGTGGATGGAAGTCCGTTCATTACGTTAATGATGATGTCTTCAGAGTCGATCTTGGAGTCGGAGGCAGCGATGTTGACAACGAGGTTCTTGATATGAGCGAGGTATTGTTGCATTGAGGAAATTCGCATTTGGATGTTATGAAGCTCGTTCTTGAGCTGAATCACCCGAGAGCAATTGGATGGTTGAAGCCGACGCTCAATAATATGATAAACTTCTTAGGTTGTGCATGAGGAGAGAACATAGGGGAGAATAGAGGGGGAAATAGTTGAAAGAAGAGCTGAGATTAAATTGCGATCAATGAGTTGCCAGAGATTGTATTCGGGACTGGATATGTCCGTCGGATAGGGAGTGATGCCGGTGAGATGACTGGCGAAGCCATTAGCGGAGAAGTGTTGGAGTTGGAGACGCCAAATGGTGTAGGTGTAGGAGGAAAGCTGAGTAGGGACTAGAGTTTTTAGATTTGAAATAAAAAATTTTAGGGGTTGTGGGATGACGAACTCAGAGAGAGAGACTGAAATGTTGGAGACGGGAGGGTGGGAGGCCGTCGAATCCTGATCCGCCATGCCTTGATCTATGATACCATGAAAGAACCGGAGCAAGAAGAAGACGACGAGTTCGGGAGACAAGGAAAAGCTTATTTTCTATATCCAAATGACAGTACACAAGAGATAAATAATGTATTGGAAACAAGAAATGTAACTGACAGGCCACAGTGGAAGGTGACGAGTAATATGCGCTAACACCATCCATTCTCAATTATGGCCTCTGCATGATCCAAATCTTTCCATCTTATGCCTTGGAAAATCACACCAAAAGCATGATTCACATTTGCCTTTCAAGTTTGTAAAGCTCAAGAAGTTTAATTAAGAGGCAAGGCATTTTTCACCAATGATCAATTATTGAGAGAGATAACTAAGATACAAGATGAAGTAAAAATGGAAAAAGAAGTAGATAGTTACCGTTCCATTAACTCTATGAGCTCCAAGTCCCTTGCTTTCATGCCCCATTTGGTATCAACTAGAAGGCAAACCCTCTGTAATCCAACCCGAGTGGAGACAAACTCCTTCACCTATAAAATTAACTGGGAAGTTGATAAAAGACTCTGCTCACTTACGAACTGAAAAAAAACCCACAATTTTGGCCTAAAATAACACCACCTATCTGTATACAGGAAGTAGAATGACAAATAAATAAACAGTTGCTATGTAGCAATTGAGAAAGAAATTAATTCAAGATTATTACCGCTTGTTCCTAAGAAAAACACACATGCACACACGTTAAGTACTCAGGGGTCTAAAACAAATAGATGTAGGAAATAGAAACAGAAATGTTGAAATGAGTGGCCATGAACATCAGAGATTATTCTATGCGGATGTCGAACGTAGTTTATCGTCGGGAGACCAACCAAAATGCGTCACGTCAGCAATACGAGCCGTGGTACAGAGCAGTACCGAGCCGGGTACCGATCAGGGGTGAAGTGGTGCATTCTGATTGGTTTCTGGAGGGCGTTCAGCATCCGCACAGAATAATTTCTCCAAGAACTGGGAGTGCAGAGTGCACGATATAAGGAGAATGCAATGTTGATAACCTTATTGGTTATCATTTTGTTGCTACTAGATAGAAAACTTATTCAAAAAAAAAATATTTTATTTTCATTTATTATGGGCTTGGAAACTAAACACAATATTAAATCCGACTAAATCATGGAATTCATCATATTACATCAGCTTTCAAAGCAAGTTTTTTTTTATTTCAAACACCAATGAGCCTTCTGCAGAACTGCTATAAATAATAAAAAATGAAATAAACTGCAAAGATTTTGTTGGCTCCATTAACATTTTGAACTATGGCCAAACACAAGAAACCGAAAGAATTGCTTATTACTTGTGATGAAAACTACAATACGAAGATATTCAGTTAGATAACAAACCAATAATTTACTACTAAAACCAACCGACAAAAAGACAACCGAAAACAAAAAACATGCTATTATTTGAAAATCACATACATAGAAACCTAAATAAAATCAATCCCGCATTTAAACCAACAACGAGATTTAGAGAGAAAAAGTCATTGAATCATACTTTTCAGTTGTAGGGGGTAACCTCAGAAATTTTTATGCCTCGATCAAAATATATCTTCCTTCAGAATAGGATTTTTTTTATTATTATTCAAGAACAGCTTAAATGTGTTTTACACAAGTTATAGACTCCTGAATATTACGAAACTCCCTTGAATTTTCCTATCTACGGGGTAAACAATCCATTAGAATCTCACCAGCTTGAAACTCAGAAAATAAAAAACAAGAATCCCGCCAACCACACAAAACGTCAAACAGAACAGTTGAATCCTTAGAGAATCCACTTAACAATTGAAGAGCAGGAATCCTACAATCAGCATTAAACAACAAGATTGCGAAACAGAAGGATGCTTGCCCACTAAAATAATATAACTAAAGGACTAATATACCCTTCCACCGTTAGAGAAGCCAGACAGACGCAGAATCACAGATCTGGCAAAAACAAAGAATCCAGTGAACTTTAGGTCATCAACAGGCGCGGAACGACGTTGGCATTCCTTGAAAGGAAGGTCGTCCACGAGGCAATATGAGTGTTTCTTCTCTTTCTCAATTGGCCAAAGCGTAAAAGCCGACAGACTATAGTTCCACGCTTGCTTTAACTCCCTCCGCTTTCAAGTGAAAGTGTTAGTGTTTCTTCTATGTTGCTTCAGCTTCTTTTGTTCTGACATAATGAGGTTCATTCAAATTTCTTGTTGATCATATTTTTCTCCCTGCTATATTTCTATGATCTTATTTTGATCATTTTTTTTTAATACAGATATAAAGGATTTGTAGAAACCCATTGGCATGATTTGTAGAAATCCGTTGACGGAGTACAAAATTTAAGTAATATATTGTTACATAAAGAAAAGCTTCTTTAATTTTTTTTTAAAAAAAGTAATGATTCATCAAATTGATAAGGTGCTTAAAAAGTACACTAGATTAAATCTAGTTTAGTAATTGCCACCGATAAAATTAATTTAAGAAAATATTTAGATCGAATAACTAAATTAAATTAATCATTTGTATGATAGGAATGCGATTTTTGAATTCAACATGCCTTTTAGAATGCATATGATGACTAGATGAATTTATTGATACACTACTAGTAAATCATTCACATATTAAAAACATAGAGCTAGACTTGTTATATACTTAGTGTTCAATTTGGTCTGAATACCTTTCTAGAACATAACAGATTGAACGTTAATTAAAGAGGAAAAAACATGTAGAGATCAACTTGACTTATCTATCGGCTGATCCTGGACTCCAACCATCAATATGGAGTTACGATGTGAATGATAGGGGCAAAATTCGAAGAACTTAATTTTTGAAATAACCACATCAACCGAGAAGTCATCAATTCCCTCAAACATTAATTGGGAATATCGCACGTAGGTTTAACTCTAAATGGTTTGAAGAATACGCTAATTGCTTCGAGTAAAACATACAGAAAGACGTTACTTTTTATCTTTACTACTACCTATTCAGGCCAAACAAATTAGGAAAGGTCAAGCTGTTGGAAACTCATTTATTGGGGAACGGTTCAAAAATTAGAATAAGAAAGAAAAGTAATTTGTCATGTTAGAGAGCATAAAAGTGAGCATAATAAAGCAAGACAAAAATATAAAGATTTATTGAGGAATTAGGAATACAAACTTCATGCGTTAAGGTTGAGCAAAGAGAATAAAAAAGATTACAGGGTCATGTTAACTGCTGCAATAGATTGTGATTGATTTCTATTACATCAAAATTATCATTTAGTGGGCATGGCGAGTCATCCGGGTCAACTAATCGAGGAAATTATTTGGAGCTTCTAAATTTTCTTGCTAATCATAATAATTAAATTAAATTGGTTATGTCAACGTGCGCAAGCTCTAATGTAAAGTTAACTTCACCAAAAATTCAAAAAAAAATTTGTTCTGCTGTTGTTACTAAGACTTTGGCACGTATTATGAAAGATATTGATGACTCTTACTTTTCAGTCATAATTGATGAATCTAGAGATGTTTCTACAAAAAAACTTGCTATTGCAGTGAGATATGTAAACAAGTTTGAGCAAATCATTGAAAAGTTTGTATGCATTACACATAGTTTTAACTCATGTTGTAACCCTAAAAACAACCATTGAAAACATATTTGTGAAACACTCATTGAGCATTTATAGAATCCGTGATCAAAGTGATGATGGGGCATCCGATATGCAAGGATAATTTAATAGTTTGAAGGCAGTTATTATTCATCATAATTCTCAAGCATTTTATGTTCACTATTTCTCCTATCAACTCCAACTATGTTTGGTAGCAGTATTGAAGAATCATTGGCAAGTGAAATATCTATTTTAGTTTACTTCCAAAATTATAAATACTATTAGGGCTTCCTGTAAGAGATCGGATGCTTTAAAAGCTATTCAGCATGATAAAATACTTTCACATCTTAAATAGGACAATCAACTAAGCGGTCAAAGTTTAAATCAAGAGATTAATTTATAAAGATCTGATGATATTTGATGGAGTTCACATTTTCATTTTTTAATTAGTCTCATGAGAACATATACTTTTGTAATTAAGGTACTTAAGGCTGTTAAAGAAGGGGTACATGATCAATAGTCATTTGAAACAAATGTTCTGATATATATAATGGAATACTTATAAAATATATTTTTTTATTATATTTTCACAGTGTATTTGATGATTGATATCATGGAGATTACACATGAATTATCTCAATCATTACAAAGAAAAGATCAAGACATATAAAATACAATGAAATTAGTGAAAATATTCAAACAACGATTACATATTCTGAGGGAAAATGAATGGACTGTTTTACTAGAGGAAGTATCACATTTTTTTAGGATTTTCGAAATTTAAGTTCCAAATATGAATGATACATATACAACTCATTGTCGATCCATGCGAACAGGTGAAGAAATATCAAACCTACATCATTGTCGTGTTGAGCTATCCTAAACTGTGGTTGATATATAGCTTCAAGAGCTAATTAATCATTTTTTTGAATCTATTATTGAGTTGCTTCTTTGAATGACATGCTTAAATTCAATTGATTTTTCCAATGCTTATAATGAGAGAAAATTGATATGTCTAGCAGAATTATATCCAAATGATTTTTTTATCATTGACCTTCTGACTCTTAAAAGTCAATTTTTTAACTCAAGGTTTAAAATTGCGTAAATAAGCCTCGAGGCGTTTTTCGTCCGTGAGGCGAGGCGGTGTGAGGCGTAAGCCTCACGGACGCATAATTGCGTTAATGAGAATTTAAAGGTTTTAACAGGTAAATAATAGCAAAATTCTATCATACAATAAAAACTTCTAAATAACAAGTTGAATTAGTGAAAATTAAGAAAAGAGATGCAATAAATTCATGTTCCAAAGTACAAAATCACAAAATTTTAATCAATCAAAACTCCCAAAGTACAAATAAGAAAGAACATATATAATCCAATCATGTCCCATCACTAAATGGTTCAAGGAAATTTTCTTCTTTAATTGTATCAATGAATGTCATATCTTCATCTTCTTCAATTTGACTCACTTTTCTCTTCCCTATTCAATAAAAATGATCATTATCATATTACTTGCTCACTTGATATAAACATAATGTAATAGCATATAAGAAGTTATGAAATACTTTTATTTGGATGTTATACTACAGATCTAGTGGATGTGTGTGGTGTGGTACTAGTGAATATGCCAACTTGATCTGCTTCGCCCCTCAAGACATCCACACTTAGATCTAGTTGCAAGTCTGATAATGGCAAATTTATCTCATCATCTATGAACCACTTATTATCAGAAGCAACATTATCACACACCAAAGGGTCCTCATCATCCTTCAACCCCTTGTTTTTTAACCTCCTTTCTCGCAACCTCTTGTTATGCATAATATACACAAGAGAGTTCATTTTGAGTGTTGAAAGTCAACTTCTTCTCTTCGTTTGCACTTGACTATATGTACTCCAATTTCACTCACACCCAGAAGAAGAACAA